AAAAAATGAAGCAAACTAAACTCAGCATCATTTGACTTCATYTAGTGTAATCACCTTCCATCRCCATGGGTCGCCTTCCTTATGGTCCTGGMAATGCTCATRTCCTTCAAAGCAAGGGTGCTGATGTAGGTGTGATGAAGTTCTACTGTACYGAGTACTCGTCCCACTATGGYCATGAAGGTTTTAACCCAAGGACGGGTAAACATGTGGGCACTGGTTATCAGTCWAACTTCAGACCAGGAGTTTATTATAGCAGAAAACTAGATGAATTGGACAACCCAGCCATGGGGTAGGAATATAAAGTTCTAACATTAACTAAATTATTCTAGTTATAAATTATGAAGAAAATAWATAATGCAGAAGAAGCACTGATCATTTCACAAAAAAACTCTGCATCCTATTCTTAGAAGAATAGGCTAACAGTAAATTTTTAAATTAAAGAAGTTAAAACTTCTTCATCTGAGTAAAGAAAACAAGTTAAATGGCTGCCTGTTGTACATATACATTCATTTGCTTGATTTGTATTGTTAATGTTCTGTCTGTAGCTTTCATCARTCTCCTTTTAAGAAGACCTTTTAATTTACTCATTTCAGGCGAATTGTTAGTGACAATTATGCTTCAATTACCACAAAGCATTTCCGACCATCAAAGGGGTCATCTGGTGTTGATCCATTTTCTCGAGGGCTACACATGACAGCCACTAGTGGSTTTGTCAAGGATATACCTGGCACTCTACCAAAGTATGGACAGGTCTGTATAAGATAGACTTATTTTAATGACATCTTTTGAGTTGTTTTCTAGCTCCATGAAAGGAGATTCAAAGTATAATAAGTGATATATGGAAAACAGAAAGAAAAGTATACATTAATCAAGAGTAAAATAAACAGCTGATTTGTTTCCTAAATTCTAGTTCTAGAAATTTGCATTTGGAAAACTTGAATCGTCAAAACCATGTTTCATACTGTGTAATGAAACGCAGTACTCGGCCAATCAAAATGCRCGTAGTATCTAAGTTATTTAATTTATAAAGTGTGTATGAAAAACAATATAAAATGGCTGCATGTGTCTCTGTTCCCTTGTATTCCGTTAACACAGTCACATTGTGTCAGAGATGAAGAAAGCAAAAGACCTAAGCCTAAGTGCATCAASAAGACATGATGTGTCTATATTTACTTAAGGCCATTATGTAAAATCATATCATTTAAATTCAGTAAGGTATAATCTTACAATGTATGTTATTTAGGTTTCTGGTGTTCATGTYGATACAAGAGCATCTGGTACAGTTTATCCCTACCATCGTCCAATGCTGCATACCTTAAAACAAAAGGACCCCATTGCAAGAGAGAATGCACTTCATGTAAGCTAACTATAAATCAAATTCCTGATACATACTTGTTATTAACACTAATTATGTTTCAGTGACTACTCTTTACTTTTTAGCAAAAATTAAATTGTAACCCTTTTTATTTTTCTCTTTCCCCAAATTGAGACAAACTCCTTAGTGACTAATAGTGTTAATTGTTAGTGTAAGTTTTGTAAACGTTGTATTCAAATTATTGTGATGTGTTGTTGTTGCATTTAATAAAAAATGTTAATAACAAAAAACAAAAACAAACACTAATTATGTACTTTCTTTCAAATKCAGGGTCCACTCTACATGTCAACTGAAGCCAAAGCAAATTTTCTTGGTTTGCCAAGTAAAAGAAGTAAGTATCAACATTTAGCATTGCCCACTAGTGTGTAGTCTCCTCTCACAACGATTAGGAGGTTCGTCTGGGAACAAACCGCGTAACGGCTGCAAGAAAAGACTAACTAGAGTGGGAGTAAGAGCACATACATKTATAAAAGAAAAGGAAAAATGAAAATAGGGATGCAGAAAATTGTCATAGGGATTTTTTAACTGCAGACATTTTTTCAGGGGATGTTTGAACTGCTGATATTTAGTGATATAAGTTACACTAGTAATTTTAGTATTAAAATATATACTGTATCATGACAATCAGCAAAAGAAAATATAGATAAATAATCTCAATCACCTTTCTGATATAACTCTGTAAACCTGATATTAACTTATATTTTTACAATCAGCAAAAGAAAATATAGATAAATAATCTCAATCACCTTTCTGATATAACTCTGTAAACCTGATATTAACTTATATTTTTTCAGTGGATACTTCATGTAGGACWGTAGGATACAAGGAAGGCTCTGGTTTTACCCACGCTCACAATGATGAACCCATAACATTCAACCCAATGGAAGCATATGATGGTCTAAGAGATGTAAGTTATAATAGCATACATGTATATGTAAACATTTTGTCATATGTCCATCCTGATTATCAGGCTGTCTTGAAGGAGATTGGGGCAAACTGTTCCATCATATACTTGGCACAAGTTCTTAAAGAACATTGCTGCTAGCCTAGTGCATTTACATACTTTTTGTATTGGTCAATTTATCTAAAAGCCGTTGCAGAATATGGCAACACTTTTAGGCTTTGTGCTGTARGAAAGCTTTTGGAAATAACACAAAACAATCAAATCATTAAATGTTTTTTGACTGAGCTCAGGGCAGATTAAAAAAACGTTTGTTCTAAATCTCTCTAGCTCATCCTAGAAACCAGTCTTACCTTGTGCTCCAAAGGAATTCCTGAGTACTTTATGTAGTCTATGTAGACTGGTTATACGTCTTTTCTGTTACGTGCTGTCATAGAATACCATTGAACACATGAATATTTGATTGACGACCTCAAGAGGTCTGAATAATCTTACATGTATATGGACTCAGTAAGCTTGCTGCTTGATTGACACTGCCTGGCTTTTATATCGTTTAGGCAAGTTTAAAGATGAGAAGATTTCATAAAATTGTATCTAATACTTTATTTTCAGCCTCGATTTACATACAGACCTACAGGATTCAGTGTTATGAAAGGATCCTTCAGGCCTGTTGAATATCAACATGTGAGTATTGCGCACTTTTAAGGTGATTCCTGACTCTTTTTGCCGCGCATCCGTCGTGCCCACCCGAGCACGCGCTTTATATACGATTGCTCTGCTTGCGACCAAATGCGCAACACTCTCTTTTGTAACACTTAGGCAGCATCGAAAATAAAAAGAAAATATCCATTAAAATTTATCGATATAACTGAATGTTTTGTTTGCGTAAAAATCACCTACGCAAACCACACCTTCAAATTGTAAATCAACCCAAAAGAAAAGAAAAACGTACGCTATAACGTATCAATAATTGTGTTAAGCGCGCGTAATATGAACTGCGTAATGGAATTTTTTTAGGAAACGCGCTGGTAAATAGCCTTTGAAGCTTTTACGTCCTGTACCGTATCCGCAATGCATTATAGGATATGTTTGGGACAGAACACAGCGGATTTCTTAATTTTGTCTTCTCAGAAACTAATCCCACAATGCATTGAAAATCAAGTAGTGACCCAAAAGGTTCAGAAGTCTATTCAACTATGATTGTTTCAGAGCACTAATGCCTGAAGACATCGATTAGTTTATACAAATGCTGCTCAAAATTAAAATGCGTAATGCTTTTTCTCTCAGGGTAACGAGGCGTTCCCAATTTTGTCTCAYGGATCAGATCACAATACTGGATTTACACACAGTACCAAAGTCAAGCCTGTRTTCTACAGGAAGTTAAATGAGGTAAGTCCTTTTTGCGAATTTAAATTGTTGATAAAGCCTCTAGTATTTGAGTTAGTAAATGGTTTGTCTAACTGGTTAGTTTTTGTTGTCTTTAGTTTGTTTCCTTGTTTTGTTTTGGTTAATTTTATGACTTTTAAACGTTTTCAGGCCTACACGAAACAAGATGACCTGCACCCTGAGGTTCAAAAACGAATTCAGAAGAAAGATCCATGCGAATATTCTAACATGACCAAGCCATACACTTAYTCCAGGTATCCCATACGAAGCATTTTCTCGTTTCTTTCCTCCATTGGCCTCGTTTTGTCCACCCTACATGTATTTACCTTCCCCCTTTCTTCCTTCCTCCCTCCCTCCCTCTACACCTTTCATCCTTCATGCCTCCCTTTCTCTCCCATTCTCTCTTCGTACCTCCCTGACTTCCTTTAATTCTACATGATTTCCATTCCATTTTTATTTCCTTTCACTGTCCATCCCTTTCATGTTTTTTTTTCTGCCTTCCTTTAACAACATTCAATTTCATCACTTCCTCTATAAGCTAATTATGTTTACCTTTCAGTACTACGAAGCTAGCGTTCCGTGGYAAACAGACTGGTGATCCTTCTGAGGCACAAAAACTCGGAAACACAACTGTTGGCAGCAAGGTACTGTACTATGTAATGTCCGCACCACTGTCTCGGCTAGACTTTGCTTGGTTAGATTCTTATCTGCGCTCTGTTTATTTTCCAGGAGTTGACAGGATACAGYGAAAACAACGACAAGTTCTTTGAAACTAACGAAACAGAGCAGTCGTTGAGACGATTTAATACCCATTACGATGCCAAGTAGGTTCATTATTTATCTGTCAATAGTCTTAGTCTAACATATCTAGTAGAAAAAAATATCTTCACATCCATAAAGGGGCATGGTCCACCAGCATCCCTTTCGAACTCATGTTTGAAAATAAAAATACATCGGCAATATAAGCAAAAACGTACTCTTTATTATCCCTTTATACTGTATGAATGGAGACACTGTAAGATTCGACCTTTAAACCGATGGATGGAAACGGATTGCGAATGGATATTCAAAGTCACCTCATTTTCCATTTATGTGTAAAATCTAAAACACGACCGCATTGAATGCTGGTGGACCATGTCCCTTTAAAGGGCATGTCTATAAAGAAAAAGTCCTTTAACGATTATTTCTTCTGTATTCTAAGGTTCTACGACATGAATCCAATCGGTCTTGCACGTATGGGACACACCCGTGGTAACCTGCAGACCCAGTTACCTGATGGCTTCACGAAAAGTACCAGYGTTCATAAATTTGGTCCAGACATTAAAAGTACCATACAACTGCGAGAACAGAAGCCTTACCAGTCGAGGTGAGTGATATGTATTTTTGTTTTATTTTTTTAAAGACGCTAGGGTTTCATTTGAGTGGATTCCATGCAAATTTTCAAGATGCAGTGACCAATTCAGAATGTCACACAGGGGATTGGCTTCCTTTTTAATTGAGGACTGCTTTCATCGTATTTGGGGAGGATGACCGACCCGTGTAAGAGAATGCAGAGAGCTAGAGGATTCAGGATTCCAAGCGCTGGATTCCGGACTCCCAAATATTGGATTCCGCATTCCAAGCATTGAAATTCCTGATTCCAAAGAATGTGTTTTTGGATTTGAAAAATTTCGCTGGATTCTGGTTTCAAAAAGTTGGATTCCGGATTCCAGGATAATACGGATTCTGGTTTCCAAAGCTGTTTTTTTTTCTTTCTTTCTTTCTTTTCCTACTGGATTCCGGATTCTCATAGATGGGGCGAGGGGGCGGAAGGAATGGCTCTAATCTGTAAAGATATCAGCTCTTAAACAGAATATATTCCATTTTTAACTCATGCAACAGTACAGTATGTCCCCCATTGTTCCTTAACTGTCTGATTGGTTATATTCTAGGAGYATCAAGGCACGTGACCCATACTTTGATGATCACCTTCACGACAGCAAGCTAAACACCATGCAGACCCTAACAGCCTAACCGCAGCTATCAATCTGACACAAGAACTCACTACCTCGAAACCAAAGAACGATTTTTCAGTCAGCACTTAAGCGGTGAACAAGTCACGAGAAATTTCTTTTGAAATTAAATCCAATTTTTAGCGGCCAGTCAATGTAAAAGCCCTCAGTCATTCCATCTAATCTTTCACTGGAAAACAGTGAACTAATTTGAAATCARAATTTATGTAAGAAACTGTTGAATGGTATACGATTAATGAATAATAAGTATGAATCGCTTTTAGGTTTGACTGTTCTTTCTGTAATGCTGGTTTTCTACCAATTCCTTGAGATTCATCGAAAGATAAGCCCGGTAGTTTAGAAGTATTTGGGTAATCGGACTCTATTGTTGGTGGCCAAAAACGTCGAATTCTGTATGAGAAATTTAGCGTTTGTAATTGAACCGCCAACATGGCCGACGTCAATTGATTGGAAACCAAAAATTTTCCCTTGAATAGAGCGCATTATCCCAGCAGAGTGAGTTTCTGAAAAAGACATATTTTCGGGAAGCGAGCAGAACACAATCTCAGTGTAAAACTCAGTGTAAAAATCCAAACAAAACCCGCATCCTTAAAATAGAATGCATTCATGGCATTTCCGGTGCAGAGTGCACTCTCCGAGTAGCTAGAACGCATTCTCGAAAACAAGAACGTATTCGCCATAGAAACCAAGCAGAATGTATCCCCAGTGTACACATTCTCTAAGCGAAGTATTCAAAAAGGGGGAATCTCCAAAACCAAATAGAATGCATTCCAATGGTAGAACGCATTCTGAGTGAAGCGCGTATATTCTTCGAAAGCAAGCAGAATGTATTCCCAATGTAGAATGCATTCTTGAAGCGAAGTCTCAAAAAGAAATCGCAGTCCCGAACTGATAAGAATGCATTCCAAGGGCAGTTAACAAAAACATGAGTAGAATTTATAATATCCGGATTTCCTGAGCAGAACGCATTCCCGAGTACTTTTCTCTCGACACATTTCCAAGAAATAACGTACCTTCCAAGAAAAGAAATTTTCTGAGGTGAATCTATTATAAGTAATAAACCCTAAAACGCATTTGGGCAACCCGGCCATAATTTTAATTAACAAAATTCAAAATGGCGACGTTTTGGCAATGACCTCTCGTCGCCGTTATCAGAATCTATTGTTATCAAATTGTTTGTACYGTTTTCTAAGATATTAATTGATCCTTAAGATATTGAAAAATACTCTACTCTCGATATATTTTGAAAACATTTCGTGAGCTCTATAGTTTCCAAATCTCGTATATCTAATTAAGCTATTGTAGTTTATTTGGTTGTTTATTTTGGCTTGTCACTGATGGACTTCAGGTGTTAGCAACAACAGCCAATCAAAATTGACCATTACCACACGTACCTGCTTATTATGAAATTTGACTTTTGRTCAATTTACCTACAAAAAATGAACAATTTTTTTACAAAGTTTAGTTTTATTGTACTCCATAAAATAGATTAAAATAATTTGATTTTTTTTTTCTAATTTGATTACTTTTTTGGAAAAATTTCTTGAGATCTTGCAAGGACGTGACGACAACGTTTTTAAGTTAAACGACACTATTTTTCAAACTACTAATAATCAATTATTCATAATAAAAGATAAAATCACAGTCATTTATCTGAGRTTGGAGTGAAGCAAATTGATCTTAATCAAGCCCTTTTCGACAGGATTGGACAAGCTGGTAAGTCTGAATTATAGCTGGAAAACGTATCTTAAAAGTTACTAAATACTTTTCTAAAGGAATATACAATTTCGTTTTTGAAACGCTTTATAACTTCTACTATTTGATCGACTGCGATAATCATCGATGTAATTGGCCTGATTTCAAACGAATGACTCGTGTGTGCGGAAGGCAGCCTATTTCCTTTCGTTGAACCAAAATCGTCTAAGCAATCGTTATCGGCAGAACATTTGGATATCTGCACTTTAACTATTATTTTGTGTCAGGACTGAAGCAGGTTTCTTTAGACTTGGTGTCGTTCATTGTAGCCAGCACAAGTGTATTGTAAGGTCATTTTGAACTTTGTTGATCTCTTATAGTAAATCTTTGGGTTATTGATTCGCTTCCAGCAATATCGCTCGGCACTAAATCTTCTACTTCATTCTWCACATAATCAGTCATAATCAAATACACAACATTTAATTTTGACAGCACAAAACTCTCTTTCTTTGTTGATAAAACGTATGACTAGGATACATTTGTCGAGACGGCTAAAAGCTGCACCAAAATAGCTTCTATATGTTACTATAGTATTTCAAGGAGAAATCAAATTAAAAGTAAAAGGACAWGAGCAAATGGGATCTAATGATTTACTACATTACTATGCTTGCTCAATAACAGTTCATATACTAAACTTGACATATCATGATAAATTTTTCTTTATTATCACATCAATATATTTCCTCAGGATTTTATCCATTAACATTWGATTTGGAAATAGAATAGCTAAATGGCACATATTTTCTTTTACCATCTTCTATCTTCCTTATTTTAGAGATCTGTTTGAGAATGCATATCGGTCTRTTGCTGTTAGGAGCAGTGATACAGCTAGCAATAGCCACAAATCAACAAACCAACGGTTAGTATACATATATACTTTATTATAACTATTATGTGTATGTCTACTTTTATCTTAAATCTACAATCTAGATTTTTCTCAATCGGCCATCTTGAATTTGATAAAGCTGCCATGTTGAATTCGAAATAGAGGCCATCTTGAATTTGATGTGGCCGCCATCTTGAATTTTATATAGCGGCCATGTTAAATTTAATAAAACGGCAATCTTGAATTTGATGTAGGGGCCATCTTGAATTTCATATAGCGGCCATGCTGATTTTAATGAAACCGCCATCTTGAATTTGATGTAGCGGCCATCTTGAATAAGATGTACCCATTATTTTAGTCGGTAGCAATATTGAAAATGAAATTGAAGGCTAGCATCACCCAAAAGTGTTAATATGATACTATAAAACTGAATAATTCACACATGTTTTACACTCTTTTAGTAAATATGTTTATATATGCTGTAATTAATATAGTCATCCATTTAGACAGTGCCTTACAACAATAACGAAATATAGCTAGCAAAGCCCGCTGACTACGAAAGAGTACAGTGTGTGATATTGCGAGCGTGTAAAGAGTTCTACAAGCAGACGTTAATGACTARCTGCCGGTAAATAGCTAACAACTTATAATGRAAAGGGTTRGCCTTTAGAAAATCCCGAATGCGAAGGCCTGGGCAAGGACACTTGTCTCAGTAAGACAATAAACCAGCTAATAGCTAAAAACTTGAAATATAAATAACAAATCAAATACTAATTGACTACTATTAATAATGATCAAACGGTAAAAGTCAGTAATAAATAAATAAATAATGCTGATAAAAGCAAGACTTAATGCAAAAAATAACAACATACGTAACAAGAACGGCAAACMAACACCTAACTCTCTAAATTGCATGTGGATGTAGCAGCGCATGTCATAAAAAAGCTCGTTAAATTTGCATGTTGTTTATAGATGTAATAAAAGACATCGCTAAACGAACTGCTTCTTTCAAAAACCAAATCGAGAAACTGGAGAAAAGATTCACAGATCTCTACAATCAATACTTGAAGTTGCATGATCAAACAAATCGTAATATAACACAGCAGCAATTTGAAAAAGGTAGAAACACAGGCAGAGTGACTTAAGCATTCTGTACAAGAAATAGCTTTAAAGTTATCTAGCTAAATAGTTTGGCTCAATATGAGTAAATGAATAAAATTATGATTATTATTAATTGGTAAAGACCAAATCTTGTCTTATTCTGGAGCTACGTATTTCCGATCTCTGTGAAATAAGTGCAGAGCAAATGGCAAATTTTTACGCCGTACTTGTGTAAGTTCTCGCGCGCTGATTGGCTGATAAGAGGACTTACAACTCAGTAAGAGGACATGATACATCTCAAAACCGTGCACAATTTGTTTAATATCTTAATCTTTAGTTATTTATAAAGCCAGACAGGGAGTGGAAAACAGGAACCCCGAGTGTAGGGAAAAAATGTGTAAAGAAAAAGAGACGTCTGCGGCTGTAGATTTGCAATCATGCGCATTATTTGCGGATTGTCGGACATAATTCATACAATAGGCCGATTGCATTATGACGTAACTTTACTACAACTASCAGAGAGCCTTGCGCATTTTCATTGTTATTCAGACTTTTAATCTCTTTGGAGATTAATAAAACAATTGGCACACTCATTGCATTACAAAACTGAGAAAGTTGGCAAAGCATTCTGGTAGTTGTARTAAATGACGTCATAATGCATATCGCCTATTTCATTGTTTGGCGTTTCTGATTTGCACTGCAAACACTTACAAACGCATCTTTATTTATTTATTTATTTAGATCTTGCTGAGGTTGACAAAAGAAGTGTCGAGCTCTTATCAAGGCATAGACGTAAGTAAAACTTAGTCAGAAAAATTGCATGTCCAGATCTGGCAATTATTCTGTATATGAAATGGCTTATTCATGTCTTTAAAATTACAGGTTCTGGCGCATGTGCAGAGATATGTGTCCACCGATGTATTCCATCGTGTAACTTCGCATGCTGTGTAGCCAGACCTCCAGGAATGAACAGGCATTTGATCAATAAACTCGAAGTTAATGCTGCAAAGAAGAATTTGCTCGCCAGGAAGAAAGCCCATAAACAGAATATTATTAGGAAAAAACTTCAAAAAMAGAAATTGTTGCATTTGCTGGAAGAGGGTAGTATCTGTGCTCCTAGTTGTCTTGTACGCTGCGAACCTAAATGCAAGTTCAAGTGCTGTATAAAACAAAGTCATTAATTTGGGAACTTTTGGGACGTCTTTTGGCTACAAGTGTATAGCTTACTAATGTGAATATTTTTTTCAATAAAACATTGGACCTGAAAAGTGTCATAGATACAATGATATGGATACAGGAGTCTAAATCTAGATCCTCTAGATCTCTCAGGATTCTTGATCCCCGGTGACGGATCCTGTAAGTAGGTGGAATGGGTGTACATTTCTTCTTCGGGAGATTTGCACCCCTCCCTGACCAAAAACTTGGATCCTCCGTAGWAATGATTTAAATTTGATGAGGATTTTCGCGCTGGGGAATGAGATCTCAGTTTATTTCAAGATTGAGGCCTTGATAATTTTTCCATGAAAGTACATTTTTTTGCACTAGAGAATAAAGATTATCATGTTTAATTCAATACTATTTTAATAAAATAAATAATAATAAATCCATGATCATTATGAAACTTTTCAAGTTCCAATCSATGGGCAAAGGTTATGACAAAAGGAAAACCTTTAAAACTGCTCTGCAGCTAGTATTTTTTTTACGAAACACGTCGCATTAACATGTTTATAAATACATAGAATTATATTGGGCTTTTGCTGTCACTGATTCAGGATGACCCTTGATCATGTACTGCTCTTTTGCATCTGTAAGGATTGTATGGCCACGAAAATAAGTGTTATGGAATGTACTCTTACGCAACATGTATCAAAATATATGTAAATACTAATAAAAAAAATACAATAAAGCATGGGACACGCCATAATCTCTTTCTTATTTTGCGGGTTATTTTCTAGCAGCAACAACAACAACAACAACAACAACAAACAGTTTCTTCGTAGTTAGCTAACATACAGCACGCTACTTTTAATCTAGTGGTTTGAGCAACCTTCTCGAAAGCCATTTTGCCGATTTCAAACTATGTATCCACTGACCATAAGCAAACATTGCTCATTCATTTAATCACATATGCTCGCTAAGAGACGAGAAAAATAAATTTTGATAACATGTCCCAACCGGGAAAATGTTGGTCACCCAAATGTTGGACGGTGTGTGATGATCCATATTTGTTTAGATATATATCTATATCTGACACCCATTTCGCGGGTCTTTGATTTCACCCAAATGTTTATTTGAAAATGCAAAACAACACTAATTAGATCAAGGAAAATATTTTCATCACTGCTTTGATATTTTCTTTAGTTTCGTATAATTTCATTTATATCTTGCCGAAACTTCCAATCATGTAGCAATTTCGAGAACATTGCAAAGCGATTGAGGTTTGCCGAAATGGAACGAGCTAAAACAATGTCGACAAGTGACAATGTTGCGAATAAACAATAGAAAAATGAAATAATAAACAATCAGATATAMCATATAACAATTTCATGAAATATTGCACAGCATGCCAGAATCATCTTAATAGCCTTGAGTAAAATGTTATGATAAAGAATATAGATATATTGATATCGACATTTTCAACGCCAATATTTTTTCAATTTTATGCATTGGCTAAAAAGTGGCATATTTTGACATATCTTTGATCTTCGATCAGTTTTCCACCACTAAAATGTCTTCAATGAAGCACTATTCCTCCAATCTCTACTTTCCTGTTGTCTCTGCACGGCGTTTAAGATCCGTATACATCTTCAACGGAAAGGGTCGTTTTTTCCTACTTGAATTGCCCTCTGCATATCAAATCGATGAGCTCATTAGCAYGTCTTCCAAAAGCTAATTCAGAAAAATCCGTTCTAGACCCATACAAAAGCAAAGAAACATCTCATTCTTGAAAGCTTCCAAGAAGATAAAGTTTTCGAAACGCATCTCTACGTGTTTTTATTCAGATTGGCGCTTTTTCAGCTCCTTTTGGGTGAGAATTTAGGAGAACTATATTCTCGAACAGCGGGTAATGTTTTTAACCCTCTAAATAATTAATAAAGTGTAATTCCCAGAGCGTTACAAGTGAAATCTTGCAATTCCACCTTACGAAACGGGACAACTGGCGAGTTTCTCCTGATATTAGGGAGTTCAAGGTACGTAATTCAATACCATACTAAACCATCATAAAAACCAWTCTCTCTTTATTGTCAAGTGGCTGTTAACGTTTTCAAATGCCTTTATTTGGAAGGGTAACATTTTGTTATATTTGCGAAAACACTGGTATTAGTCTGTCAGTCCACTCGAGTCAACAGGTTTCCATTTTAGTCGATGGTCGGTTCCACTGAAGAAGGTGATGATACACTAAAAGGGYTATATKAGARCYCAAAAATTGTTAAAGAAATGTTAGGARTGGAGTTTATGRTAGYATTAGATGGTACAYTTTTCTTAAGATTCGTCTGTGTTTGATTGGTTGAATTGATCATCGATCGCTTGATCTGTTACCTGATCGAGTGTGCACTAGTCATGTTGCCTCACGAAGCGGTTCGTTGGATTTTAACAATTGAGACTGCATGTATCRTTAAACACGAGGTTTCAACTTATGATGGTATGTCTTTTACAGCTATACATTTAATAAGATTTCGGCTGTATTTTTAGGTAATTTACAGAAATAATAACTAAAAGTATTTTGTTGTACTCTTGTAAATATCGCGAACAAAAGTTGTGGTTCCAAACTGTTTGGGCTTACAGCTGTAAATCCTTCAATCGCAAAAGTGACTAGTAGCTAGTGGATCTTTTATAAGTTCGATGGAGCACATATTAACTTAGTTGCATGGTAGCCAAATGTTTYGTTTCCAAGATTCTTGGGAACTCCTGGAAACCTCCCGGTTCTCAGTCTTGTTCAAATAAATATTAATTCTTGCCTAATTTAAGTCCAWCAAGAATCTTCATTTATGGATTAATATCACAGCTTCGGTATTTGAATTTAAGCTCACAGTTTCAGCCAAGATGAAGGCTATTATTCTATGTTTATTTGCCGTGGCTATCTGTTTAGCMGATGAAACAAAGACAAAAAGAAATGCCGGTGAGTGAAAATGTCCATCAAAAGTGAAAGAATTAATCGTTCTACAGTGAGATCCCTAAGTCAAGACACAATGAATTGCACTTTTATACAAATGCTGCAGCAACTAAAGCAATATCACCCTTTTTTTCTTTTTTTCTTTCAGCTTTTAATCCATATTTGAAGCGTATTTCTCCATATGCAGCMAGACGTAAGTTGGAAAAGACACTATATGTTTTTACAGATATCCATCAACTTYGACGCGAGTTAATTTGTTTGTTCATTGCAGGTCAGGCTTGGGATTGTCATCCAGGTTGTCGTAAATTCTGTCTGCCATCTTGCAAAAGAAGCTGCTGTTTTGGAGCACCAAACTATAGACCRCAAATGTTCCAACAGCTCATCCAATACCAGTCKAACATCGAYAACCCACCACAACTACCACCAGCTTGTCCGGCAAATTGCAATCCAAGTTGCTATCCCAGTTGCGATGCAGGATGCTGCGCATTGCAGCCACAAGTTCAAGCTTCAGCATATGGAACAAGTGCTGGATGTTCTCGAGCTTGCGCRCCCTCATACTCTCCAGGTATAGTGCGATGAAGAATGAACGTCTAATAAGAATTTGCTCTTCATTCTAGCATGATATCTTATTCTAACTGAAGCGAATTCAAAACCAATACAGTTTGTTTTGAATACAACATACTTTGTGTTGAATTATTTTTAATTGATAACAGCATCAATCAAACAAATTTTCTTAAAACATTCTTATAAATCGTTTGTTTCTATGATATTGGGATGTCGAGACAGGCAACTGGCTAGATCATATCCACTACTATTCGGTAATGAGATTTGACAGGTAGTAAACGAGATGAACTGCATTGTTAGATGCTAAGAACTGCCTAACACTGAAAAGTAGTGGGCGGGATGGGCTGTATTGTTTTATTCTAGTTATTGACTTTTTAAAAATTCATTGAATACATTTTTTAGCATGTTGCCACTCTCGTCCTATTGGTTTAMACAGTCGTCCCATGAWCCCTGGCGCTCCTATGACAGCTGAAGATAAACCRTCASCRCCAGGTCCAGCTMCAGCACCTGCTTCAGCTCCCAAACCAAAATCAATTCTTTTTGAGAAGAAACAAGATGGAAAACTTTGCATTAGGAAATGCCTGAATCTATGCAATCCAAAATGCAGATTTGAATGCTGCTTACCCACACATCTGCACTTTGATGATGATCCTCCACTTCCACCRAAAGTCCAGCATAATGATCCACCACCTAAAGTTGAGCATCCAGCAATACCACCAAAGATTGTGGACAGAAAGACGGAGCAGCTGAAGACAAAATTACGAGACCCACAATATATACATCCCATTGCAATGCCTCAAA